TTTTCATTCTCCTAAAATGTGTCAACAGCTTGAGGTTTCAGATGGCATCTTCTATTATTAAACTAGAAAATTGATTAGGAGTAAGCTTAATTTGAGGAGTTTAAGTTTATAATAAAGTGATTGACTATCTCAGGGCACTTACTTATATAGCAAAAAATGAGATGAATGATATCTGATATGCATGGAAATAATATTTAGGACTCATCAAATGGACAAGTGTGTCCATCAGGATTTAATTTTGTACCACGTCCAATGAAAAAGCAACACGTTTAACTACAAAAATCGGTGAAAAATGAAACTAATAAATTGTCGAAAGTAAAATATATTTAGATTAGCATGCAATTCGATTGCAGCTGATTTGAACTCCAAGTTAAAGTCAACACTGCCGATCGACTTCAGACAAGTAAAAAGTGACGAATGATAAAAAATATTAATTATTATCTTGAATGATATATAGTAAGATTGTTAATTATGAACCAACCTCAATATTATATGTTTTAAAGTATTAAAGGTCGGCAAAAACATTTGATCAAAATTATAAAGTTCTTTTAAGAACACCCACAAAGTTTCAATGACAATGACTAAAGTGGAAAAAAATTAAATGAAAAGAGGAATAGTACCCGTGCTATGAAAGCATGGCACATATATTGTGCATATTTAGTATACTTCCTTGTGACGTTTGTGTGTTTCCATGGGCCAAAATTAATTTAGCTTCAATGTAACTCCAGTGCATGATTGTAGAAATTAAATTATAAAATGTGGGTCTTTTATAACATTTAAAAATCTAAAATTAATTCTCATTTTGGAGAAAATTAACTAAATTCAGTAAGGCTACTGATATGTCTACGGTTAAATGGACATATTTTTTTCGAATGTGTTTATTGTGCGAAATTTCCTTTAATTATTCTAATAGCTTGTTGTTTTCTTATATTATAAAAAATGAGCGAAACCTCTCTTTCTATTTAGATTTCGGTTAATTATAAAATTACTCTTATGCCTTTTGTTTAAGGTCCAAAATAATAAATAGGAGCAAGTCCACGGAATCAGGTGAACCACCAAATAACTAAAAGTAGTACGCTATAAAAAATAGTATAAAAAAATTATGATATTTTATAGTTTAAATTTGTGTTTTTATTTAAAAAATATTAATTGATAGTTCACTTTATGACTATGGAGCAAATTAAAGTTAGTAACTCGAGTTAGTATCGTAATCGTGAAGCTCCATTAGGACCATAATCGTGACCGTTAAAAGTCCTTATCTTCTTCATTGATTGTATCAATTACTACAAAATGTACTTGTGTTTATGCACCAAAAAAAAAAATGTACTTGTGTTTCAGAACTTGAATAGATAGGTATTTACTAAAAGATTACGGTGGGCTTACGTTCACATATGCAAATGCAGGTACAAAAATATTAATTTGAAAATTTTAGACAATGAAAAGAAAAAATAAAAAAACTAAATAAAAGAAAACATGCAATTACTTCTCTAAATGAAAAGAAAAATAATATATATTGTTAGCTCAAGTCCACTAATTTAAAGGTTGTTGTTACGCATGCCTAACAGATAGACTATTTCATATCATATTCTAAATAAAAAGAAAAGTATGATATTTAACAATTATAATTTTTATAATAAAAAATATACATAATAGGCCGACATTTTAATAATTATATTATATAGTCACACCCAATAAATTGTGTAATTACCAATAAGTTTTGGTGTCAGAAATATTCTTATTATGTTTTAGAGTTCTCCAGAATCATTGGATGCTATTCGATTAATTGATTATTTAAGATCTGTTAATTAAAATATACTCAGTTTTATGTGCATTCAATGTTTTGCCCGACAGAGTTAAAAACTTTTCGTGCTGGCAATCGTTGGCACTGTCTGAAAATCATCCCATAAATCATTTGCCCTGTTTGTGGAGTCTAATCAGTAGCAAGAACTACTTCTCCAAAACATACATTTTACCCTCACAATGCAATTTGTGCCATATGATTTGAACAAAATCCATATGTATACAGTGAAATATTACATTTTTATATGAAAGTATATTCATATTTATTAAATAATACATAACTGATTAATTTTTAGGTCTGCTCAATAGTAGCCTTACTGCATATCTTAATTTTTATGGATTTTTTCTTTTCAAATATTTCCATCATTAAAAAAAAAAAAATAAGTCATTTACAACTACTAACATTAACCATAAAATATATACCAAAATTTGCAGAGAAGGCTTTTATAACCAAGGTAGCTACATTACTAGATCCAACTTGTGGGAAAAGAAATTTAATATTCTTATCCTTAAACTATTAATTAATTTTATTTACATGTGATCTATATCAATTTACTACCAGGGTTGAGTTGATGTTCTGGTTATAAGAACTAGTCCCAGTTGAAATGGAGCCATTTGGAGAATTTGAGAAAGAACAAGTATCATATTCAAGATCCTCAAAACCCCAAAAATTATCTTCATCTTCTTCTTCTTCTGGCATCTTCCATTTTACTCTGTCTATTTCCTCTTCCCCTTTGATTACCTCCAAAACCTGTCAAATTAACAAGAATATTGAATACATAAGCCATATGATTTACAATTATTTAGTGTTAAATCTATTGAAAATGTGAGAATAAATCAAACCAAAAGTAAAAAATAGAAAACTATTTATAACCAATAAACATGAAACCAGTTTGAAAGCAGAACTTCTAGTTTTTTAATACTATATTTTATGAAAATTTGTGTGGGATTGAACAAAAGGACTGCCCATTTACCCTATGATTAAGCATGTCATAATCACACAATTATTTTCTAATCACATGAAAGAGACAGATAATGATATGATTAATAAAGCATATAGATCATAGTTAGGTAAAGCACAGGCATCAAAAAAAATATTTGGAATGAAGTGAGGAAAAGAAATTAAACTCCATATAACAATGACAAAAAAGGATCCTAACTCCTATGTGAAATCCCTTTTAAAGCCATAATAATAAAGTAAAAAATTTATTATTGTTATTATTAGTAATAATACATATTTTCTTTAATTAGGACAAATAGATCTTTGGGTGGGTATAGAGATGGAAGTAAAAGATAGTCTCCCGGTTTTTCACGTTCAATCAACACACACACGTGTGGATATGTGTGTGTGTGTTAATCTAACGGTGAGAAACCTATTGATTGCAGTTAGCGGTAGAGTCGAACCCTTTAATTGGGTCACATTTAAACAACTAAAATTAAACAGCCGTGTCAATTTGATATTGGGGTCATTAATTAGTGAAGAAAATATACTTAGTTGACATAAAATTTTCCCCATACTTTGATAAGGACTGTATACATAATTTTATATCTTGGATGATTGAGCCAACTTGGCTTTCAATACTTTAGCCCTTCATAAAGTATAAAACACAAAAAGAAAGCAAACAAATATTTAAAACAAGTATAAACATTTAGTAATAAATATGTGTCAATATATGATAAACATCATGATCAAAATACCTTCTTTTTTTTCTGTCTTGATCTGTTTTATCTGTATTTTAATTCCCATTTTAGGATTTCTTAACTACAAAAACTAGACTAACCCAAAAAAATCAAGAAACAAAAAAATCAATTTGATGAACTAAAATTATCAAAATTAATCACCTCACTCATTGTAGGGCGCCAAATCGGAGAAGCTCGAATGCATAGTGAAGCCACGAACGCGAGCCTATCGAGCTCGTTAGAATCATAATCCTCTCCAAGTTGGGGATCGATCACCTGCTTTGCATCCCCTTTTTCCAGTATAGGCTTAGCCTAATATCGTAATTTTAGTATAATATTAGTACAATGCACATACTTTTATGCACTACAAATTCGAAAACAAGCCATAATTAGGATTTTCGACATTTACCCATTTATGCAAGCTCTGATGAGAACCATCCACAGGTTTCTTTCCGGAAAGGATCTCGAGTAAAAATACTCCGAACGCAAACACGTCCGTTTTCTCATCGACGACCCCGTGCATAAAGTACTCGGGCGCCAGGTGGCTTCATCACATCAAAGTCAATAATCCAATTAGAAATTTTTTTTAAAAAAAAAGAAAAAAAATGGTGTAACTTTCTATAACTTTCTTTCACAAATGTTATTAATAAGAGATTTTTTTTTTTTGTACCCAAATGTTCCTTCTATAGGAGCTATTGAATGATGGCTCCACTGTGAAGGAAGCCATTTTGCCAAACCAAAGTCAGATATCTGAAAACAGAGGAGAAGTTGTTTCATTAAAATGAATAAATGATTAGTGTTGGCTAAAAATCGTTGATTAATTTCATTAAAAGAAAAAATGTACCTGTGGTTCAAAATCTGCAGCTAATAAAATGTTGGAAGCCTTAATGTCCCTATGAATTATTCTTCTTGGACATGTTTTGTGCAAATAATGTAGGCCCTTAGCAGCCCCAAGTGCAATTTTGAATCTTGTCTTCCAGTCCATAGGAGGCATTTTCTCATCTACACAACAAAATACAGAAAAATTTTCAAATTTTCAAATTACATAAGACACAAATCACAATAACTTCCTTATCTTTTGTTTTTTTTTCTTTTTTTTTTTTTAAAAAAAAAAGTACCATGGAGAAGTGAAGCAACAGAGCCTCTTGATGAAAACTGGAAAATTAGATAAAGCCCATTATCAATACAACACCCAAGAAGTGAAGTAACATTTGGATGTGAAACATGCCCAAGTGTCCCAATTTCTGTCAAAAACTCCTTCTCCTTCCTCTCATCATTTGCAGTTTTTGTCAGCCTTTTGACAGCGATTGCTTGCCCATCTTCAAGAACCCCTCTGTAAACTTCTGCATAACCCCCTTTCCCAACCATGTTGTCTGAAAGAAAACCAAATCAAAAAAGGGACCAAAAAAAACCCAAAGATGAGATTTTTAACTCAAATGAAAGCTCTTATTTCTTACATTTTTTCAATCGTTTAACAAGAAAATGAAAGTGAACCTGAGGAAAACCCATTGGTGGCAGAAAATATTTCTTCATAGGAAAAGCATTTCCAGGTGGGCTTCTGAAACTGCCCATTTGGCTTAATCTCTTCACTGCTGCTACTGTACTCAATATCTTTATGCAGATCTTCATCAAAACTATGTCGTTTTAGGGAAAACAGCCTCTTGAAGCTGGCTGTCCTAATGTATCTCATGATTGTGTCTCTCTGTACTTTGTGAAAAATCAAAAATAGAGATTTTAGAGGCCAATAAAATGAGAAAGTACAGAATGGAGTTTGCTACTCAAACCCTCACAACAAGACATATTAGGATTTAGGAAACAACAGGTTTTTATTTTACATGTAATGTAAGTAGTGTATGAGAAAGAGAAAGGGTCCAATCTGAGTCTATATGTCTTGTGACGGATTTTTTTCTTNTTTTATTTTTTCATGAATTTATGAATGTATTGGTGACAGGTGCCTAAATTATTAACCAAACACATGTATACTTAACCCAAGTAGTACCCAACCAGAAATGATTGGGGTGGTTGGCTTAAATTAAACAAGCTTTTAACCAAAAACATGGGAAAAGATTGAGTAATTGCAAAACTAATTATGAAGTTCAAAAATTGGTGTATTGAGTATTGCTTAAACCAAAAACCACTATTATGTTATTAGTAGAGCTTGTAATCGAAAAGAGACGTCCGTGAGTTCGATTAGTTAAAGTTCGAGTTCAGTTCGGCTCGATTCGTTTATTGCTCGAGCTCGTTGAAACTTCGTTTAGTTAATGAATCGAGCTCGACTCAAAAATAAAAAGTTCTATATATTTCTTTATATTTCAGCTCGTTAAAGCTAAAATTTGGCTCGAGTTCGACTCATTAATATTGATAAACGAGCCGAATTTGAGCTCGATTGTTGGCTCGTTTAGAGCTCGACTTGACTCACACAGTTCGATATGTCCATAGTTATTAGGTAAGGGCTCGATATACAAACTGTAATATTATACTATTAAAAAATAATATAAAAAATTTATGATATTTTATAGAATTAATATACATTTTTATTTAAAAAAAAATGATAGATTACTCATCTAACGATTAAATCGTGTCACGTAATAATTTATGTAAAACCTAGGCAATCGAGAAAAGACACCTCTCATGGTTCAATTGATAATTAAAAGGCCAATAATACTGAAATTTGCCAACTTTATATAAAATTGAGTAGTCCAAATTTAAAGTTTAAATTGACAAAATAGGAAAAGGATCATTGGAACTAGCAAATGGATGAGGTATAATCTGACCCATGTACAGTTGTATTGAATATGAATTATCTGTAGACGTGTGTACATTATGTGACATATGCATGCAGCATTGAATTTTGCAGCCATTGGTTCTGTGGAGCTTACAACATTGGTGAGTTGGGTTTGAAATTTATAGTTTCATGCATAGCATTTTTGTTTAATGTGTTCAACTGATTTTTCTGTGTTTGGTTTAGTAATCAAAGGGTTTTT